CTCCTATCAATGCCTCCCCCTCCCTCTCAGGCCTTCCTCTCTCCACCACCCCCCACCAGCCAATCTCTCCTTTGTAGTTTGCTGGGCAGCTCTGTGACAAAGAGGCCACAAAGTCTGCGATTGTCAGAGTGCTAGCCCCAGGGATGAATCATGGGGTACCAAGGATGTAACACATGTTCTGAACCATAAGTTGCATGTCTGATGGGAGTACCATGAATCCACATTATTCTAATGGCATCTTGTTTACTAATCTATACTGTCCTGTCCATGGAGTAGACATTGAGACCGTTCCCCATTGCCAACACACATTTAGATGAGGGGAAAAAAAAGGAAGGGACAGGGTATGGCTCAAGGACACAAAGACTTAAGTGGTAGAGTAGAGCTCTGAACCCACAAAGCCTCTCCTCTAGGGCCTCAACTCCCAAGCTAGGAAGAGAGCATGTGCGTGTAGGCAGCATTCACGGTACATTTGTTTGTTGTACACACAGGATGCATAGTTGCATCCTCACATTAACAGGCAGTGGTGGTAGCTACATCTCCAGCCAGGCATTTCATTTGACCTTCACAGTGACTATTGTGTCTGCTGGGAAAACGAACTAAGTCTATATATAAGTCACAGCACTCACGGGCTTGGCTGTGAAGTGTCACCCACAGACTCCTGTTTGAAAATGCGGTCCCCAGCTGGTGGTGCTAATGGGACCGGGTAAAAGCAATGCAGCCTGGGGTAGGCTTCAGGAAGTTGCTTGGCTCTTGCTTAGCCAACAGCTGAAGCCGCTTCTAACTAGTTGTGCTTCCCACACTGAGATCTTTGACAAAGGCTGCTGCTTCACACAGCCCATGCTACCACAGGGCGAGGTGTAACCCCGCACTCTGCAGGAGATCCCAGACCCTTAGAGTGTAAAGGTGGGGGGGGGGAGAAGACTACCAAAGGGGAGGTGTGGGAGGTCCTGGCAAGGGTCTGATGACTCCCTTGACATAATAATGACAAATGAAAACCTAGACAGTCATTATTCTTAAAATAGGTCAAAAGCTTAAGGACCTTCAACATTCACTTGAAGAAAGAAAAACAAAAACAAAAACAAAAAAAAAAAAAAAAAAAAAAAAAACAAACCCAGCACCAAGACACAGAAAAGCAGATAAAAGACATAATGGCTCAGAGGTGAACTATTAAGAAGCAGAAACAATTAAAGTAAGTTGGAGATACACACCTTAACCCTAGCACTCAGAGGCTGAGGCAGGAGGATCTTGAATTCAAGGCTATCCTAGGCTGCAGAGTTAGACCCTGTCTCAAAGAAAAAAACAAAAATGGAATTATTCCCCAACCCCCAAATAATTAAATGAGCCAGGCAGTGGTGGCGGTGCACGCCTTTAACTCTGCAGATGCAGTGTTAGGCAGATCTCTGAGTTGGAGGCCAGCCTGGTCTGCAGAGCAAGTTCCAGGATAGCCAAGGCTTCACAGAGAAACCCTGTCTCAAAAAAAAAAAAAATTAAATTAAATTAATATAAATTCCAAGATCACTTGATAGCCTTTTTAAAATCCACCCTGCAAAATATTAAAAAGATTACAATCAGTTTATGAACAAGTGCACCCATGCAATTGAATGCCAAGCATTCAATAAAAAAAAAAAAAATTCTTTTGGAAAACATTACAGGGTCGTGGGAAAGTTCAATGTTAAAGTTTTAAGAAGTAGCAAAAATATGAATAAATAGAACTAATTAAAATACACGAGAGAGAAAAGAGAAGAAAAGGGACTTGACAGAAAATGTTCACTGTCACCGGCTCTGTGTGCTGAAACAAAAACTATACCTAGGCCAAACTTTCTTCTTTACACTCTACCTCAAATGAATAGGTGTTATATTCGAAGTTTAACTTTTCAGCAGGAGGGGGAGGGGATGAGAGACCAGGATAAGACTCAAAACAGGCAAAAGTCATTATACAGGTGTATGAAACTATTGTTTTTTACAGCTTTATCTAGGATAGCTTAAGAAACAAATCATCAGAGGGCATGGTGTCGCACACCTGTGACCCAGCCCTCGGAGGTGAGCTTCACCCTCAGCAACTGGGTGAGCTGGAGCCTGAGGCCAGCCTGTACATAATGATCAGATGAGCTGAGAGCGAGCGTCTGTTTATTGCTTCTCATGATCGGCTGACCTGCACTGCGCATCTTTTTGGAATTTATTCTGAGAATTGACCGGGCTTCATACTTCAAAAGACAATATTTGCTTTTATTTGCCTTTGATTTTAAAAAAGCAAGAGGCAAAGCTCTTTATCAAAGTCCATCAGATGACTTTAATCCAATTATGAAAATAAATTTACCCTCGACCTTACATTACTTCAAAAAGAGGAATTTTTATGCCTTTGTGATTTCTGCCCAGTGTGCCCATGAGGGAGCTTCGGACCCACCCCCAGACGCTGGGGTCAGGAGGAAGTGTCCTCAGAGGACCCACCAGCTGTATCTTCAAAGAAATTCAAAAGTGCTGAGACAACCAGGCATTCCCAGAGTGACACCCAGGGCCTCCTGGGACTCAGGTAGGGAAAAATAACTCATACCCTGTTGCCATCCTACTCAATTCTGCACTGGGAACGACACAGCTATGTGAATAATGAAGACATCACCTTAATCTAAATGTTCTAAAAACCCAAATGTCCTAAATGTTTTACATCAACACAAGAGGATTGCTCCCCCCCCCCGTGTATTTTTAACTGATTTTTTAAATCATCATAATAAGACTGAAACAAAAGAATTCTCACAGAAGAAGGTAGACTCTAGAGTACCCACTCTCCTTGGAGCCTGGCTGGAGGCAACCTTCAGTTTCTCTGCACCCTTCTGGATGCTTTCCACATGTGCGTACACAGCTTAGGGTGTTGGGTGTGTTTAAAGAGTGTGCCGCTTGGAGCAGTGTGATAAAACACTGTGCCGTGCTATCCCATATATATACTACATACTACACACACACACACATATTATCTAGAAGCATCATGGCGCTTGCTCATGAGGGAGGCTTGGGCACCCAGGTGTGTGTGTGTGCGAACTCACCTACCACATCATCCCCACCACATGGCCCAGTATTAAGGTGATAATTGACAGGTATCTGTCCGTGCCAGCAGTCTGGTCACTCTTCACCCAGGTGTGGCACTGGGTGTTTGCTGCTTGGCACTCTATGTAGGCAGGCTCCATAAGAAGAGAAATCATGTATGATTCTTGGGAAGGGGACATCTGAAATGACTACACATCTACATAGAAAAGATAATTGACTCGAAGCGACTGTTTAAAAGCAAAAGTGCAACTTTCCCTTAGGAGCAGGTGTGGGTTGAGAATAAGGCGGAGACAGTGGGTTTTGATATTCTGAGAAACAGCAAATCATGTGATTTTTAAGATCTAACACACTGGCATATTGCTGGAACCCTACCCGTCTTGTGGCGTTCTAACAGCTTGACTTGAGGTATAATTGAAAGGTGATAAACAACTCAGATTTCAAGAGTGGGATCTGATAAGTTTTGACAATGTGTGCATCTGTGCAACCATTGCCAGGAGGAGAAAACAGAGATTGGCGGGAAGGAAGGAGGGGAACGTCCTTATCTGTATATCCCTCCCCCCCGGAATGAGTCCAGATTCTCCATCAAGAGCCTCATTTAAACGCCCCTCCTAGGCAAAGGAAACTGTGCATTCAATCAATATTGAATTTGAAAAAAATAATGAAATGTGTAGAAATATCATTTTTAAGAAAGTAGAAAAGAACTCTCTCACCAAAAACATATAATTGCTATGCCTAATACCCACCACAAAGTTTTGGGTAAAGTTCCACTTTACCCAAACTATTCAATTTCCATATGAGGGCAACATAGGGAGGTTGAAAAACGGTTGCATCATTCCATTCCCCAGCCCAATCACATGGCTGTGGACAGGGCTTGGCTGTCCAGATGCTGGAACAAGCCCTCCTGCCTCTTGTCATCTGTTATCTGGGAGCCTCCCTATGCCCCTTGTGGGCCTCTACACCGACAAGGAGGTGAACGATGAACTGGAGGGAGGTTCCATCGCTTCGGCTGGGTTCTTTTCTGTGAGGGAATATCTTAAGCCTAGGCCCTAGGAAGGGAAGGGAACCCAGATGTCTGCTCACAGCCTGCCTTCCACACATGTACACTCTTGTTGAGATACAACTTTTCTATCTCTAACACTTCAGTTTTCTTGTCCCAGTGAGCTGACCAGCACTGGCATTGGAGTGTCCTAGGACCTAATGTTGGGGTGATACAACACCCCAGCATGGAAGGAGACATCCCAGTCTCCTTCCTCAGGGCCCATGATGGGGCATCCTTATTTCTCTCCCCTTGGAATAAAAGATATTTTAACACATCTCCAGCACGCAAAGTTCCAGACCACATTACATTTCATTTAAAGGCAGTAAGTCTAGTAGAAGAATAGGCCTGGGGCCTTGACCTCAGAACTCCTAGTAACTTAACACTTCAGGGAGTCCTAGGGCCTGGAACTTGAAGCTGCCTGTGACCTACAGAGGACCAGGGACTGAGATCCTGAAGAAGGCTCTGAGAAGCAATGGCTTGCTGGTTCTCAAGGGAAGGGCAGTCAGATCTGGTTATTTCTAGCTCCCTGGGCTTTAGAAACACCTGGCCATCTGGCCCCTACCCAGTGCATTCTGTTTTATGTAGTCACAGAGCACTGTGTAGGCCATGTTAAGAAAACAAATAAACCAAGAAGCAATTCAATTCAAACCCCTTCTGAATCCTTAGCATCAGCATTTGACTCTTTCAAGATGAAGTCAAGAAACCTCATATCTCCATCCTGGAGGACACAAGCCTGGTGATGCACCAAGCCAGGTGGCTGCTCGAGCTTATAATCCCAGCACTCTAGTGCTGAAGCAAGGGGCTGCCTCTAAGTTCAAGCCTGGCTTGTCTCAAAAACAAAACAAAAAACCAACAAGCTAACAAACAACAATGGCAACAAAAGCACCTAATGAGTTGAGCCTCTCAAGAGGAGACTAATCACCTGCATTCAATGAACCACTGGCGGATCTGGTCCTGAAGATGCTCCTTGATGTCCGGGCCTTCCATCAACTTCAGCTCCTCCTTGATACTCACTAAGGCTTCCTTGTAGTTCTGTTCATGTTTCAGCTGCACCTCATTCCGCAGGTGAGCCACTTTTTCAGACTGGACAATGGCGGCGCTGACTTCGTTAAAGAGAGGGGGTGGCTTCTGAAAAGAAAACCCCCAAAAGGGTGAGGTTCTGAAATCCATAGGACTGGGGAAAATATTAGAAGTGAACCTAATATGTTGTGTCATTGGACACAATGTCTATGTCTCACCATAGACATGTTACCAAAAGATTACATTTAGAGTATGAGAACTTAGCCAGTGCACGTGCCTGAAAAACTCGTCCACTGTGGAGAGAGACAACAGGGCTAGCTCCACACCATGGCACACCCCGAGATGGGTAATAGCTCAAAAAACACATATTCAGATCCAAAGAATCCAGGGCACATTGATTATGAACACTTCCAAAACTCCTGGATAAAATAAATCTTTTCTATTTTAAGTTGATCATCTTAGATATTTTGTCACAGTGACACCAAACTAGTCTGAATAAAGTCACCTGCTCTTCAGAAACCAAAGCTTTCCCAATCTTCTTGGTCAGTGGAGGAAACAGAATGTGGAAAAGGGGCATGCTTGTCACAAAGGCTACTGAAAGATGCTGTGATCTGATTTTGTTTAGAATGATCTAAAGGTCAACTCTCCACTAGGGCAGCCTAGTTCAGACATACATCCCAACATATCTTATAGAATGGTCCTCTTCTGATGATCTGTCAATCAACAAATCAGAAAGCGGTTTGTTGGTGTGGTCCATCCTCTGGGCACTAGCCCAGAGCAATGCATAGCATCTGTACCAGGTTGTAGACAGACATTCCTCAAGTGGTGGTAGGATAAAACTCAGTTCTTCTGAAGCTCCAAGGGAGCAAAATCAGATAGATTATCCCATACCTCTATGTAGGAATCTATCCAAGTGCCACATTGGAAACTAGCATGCAATGGTGTAAAAAGGTGTGGAAGGGAGCCAATCCTGGTGCTTATATTCCCCGATGTCAGAAATACAAGAGCAGGACAGTTCTCCTGTACAAGGCATGAGCCTGGCATCTAGAGAAATCCAGAGGTTCAACCAATGTTCTCAAGTCAAAGGCAGGGAGACTGGGTACTGAAGCCAGCCTTTCACAGGTCCTGAGAAAGCAACATATATTTCTGGAAAATCTGCATGTTGGTGTTAAACACCGGTATCTTCAAGTCTAAAATTATATCTTTAAATCTAAATTTATATGGAATAATTTAAGTCAATTATGTTGGTAACCAAAGTTACCAATACTCAGAACTCATCACTTCTGAGCTATTCTCCTGCCACCTGTGTTCTTGCAGCTATCTGTGGTCTCTATAGCAACACCTACTGTATTAGCATGAGTAACTTCTTAACTGCTTAGGGGAGTAACCTGGTCAGTCCCAGGGGACACTGCGATATCCAGTGGATTGGTGACTTTGGCGCTGATGTCCCAGCGCAACCAGGCAAATCAAAGTTCAGACTCACATGTTCTGGGAATTCTGTACCATGGTCAGTGGGACAAGCAAGCTTCTGTGTCTTCCATGTGTGTGCATGCACACACACACACAGACATCACAGACATACACACACAGACACACAAACAGACACACACACACACACACACATACACCTCTAAGGAACACTTCTGGACTCTCATGTGAGAGAGATTATCTCACCTTTCCATCTGCTAGAATTTAGAATCCATTAAAACCAATCAAATGAAACAGAAGAGAAAGCTACATGTGTAAGACCTTATAAATGTGCCCACTAGAAACTTTTAAAATGGACCCAATTTTCTCATTTAGTATAAAGAGAATTTAGTATGATGAGTACAATTTTTATTAAGGTGGATCCAGAGTGAGAATTATAAAATCTTTTTATTTTGCATTTGTGTGCATGCAGGTGTGTGTGTGTGTGTGTGTGTGTGTGTGCGCGCGCGCGCGCGTATGCACACACAAGTGCGAAGGTCAGAGGCTGATTTTGAGAATCTTCCTGGAATCTCACATCTAAACCAGAACCCATGAACATGGCCATTCTATCTGGGAAGTCTGCTCCTGTCTTCACTTCCTGAGAGCTAGGGTCACAGGTGGGCCGCCATGTCCACCCAGCATGTATGTGGGTGCCTGGGGTCTAAACTCCTGTCCTCGTATTTGCACAGTAAACACTCTGACCTGCTGAGCCATCTCTCAGGCCCCTGTCAAATCGTTTTCCAGGGTGACCTAACCTCTCACGGCTTGGTGTTTCTTTGTCTCATAAGGCCTTGCACTGTGTCTCCTCAGCGATACCCGCATTCATCTTTCAAGGGCCTGCAGGGCCCCATTGGACAGATGTGGGAGCTCCTTCACTCTGTGCTGTGTGGCTCCTCCCTGTGTCATTCAGATGGGAGAGTTCATGCCAGTTTCCCCAGGTAGATTTTTCTCTGGCAAGAATGCTGCAGGGTCGTTTGTAACTCCCTCCTCTTACTGCTTTTGCATTTGAAGGTTCTAATAAATTTGCATCCTGTACTAACTAGTATCCCGTCCTTTGGACACAAACATCTTCTCTTCTTTAACAACATTGGTCATATGAATTCAAATGTGTTAGCTGGCCACATAAACAGCAACTCATTTAAAAATAAATTAGGGTTATTAAAGGGAGAGGGAGAACGTGATAACATACGATGTATTGAAATGCACGGGCTGTAGATTAATGCAAGTTAATGAAGGCTCTCCATGAGAGCAAGCCATTACATCTGCCGGCTCTCCACAGTTAACGACCCAGAACGGAAGAACGAAACCTACATTTCCAGCAAGGTCCTCTGTCAGCAAAAACACACACATTAATAATTGATGTTGCTGAGGATATGTGACATGAGGCAATGCTTCCTGAGTCGGGGGAGTGGAGGACAAGACTCCATGCTCCGCTAATATCCATGTTTAGCTAACGTTCGACAGGCTCCAGCTTTAAAAACCTTTGTTGAAATTAGAAAGGGAAACCGGTCATTTATAAAAACCCGTTCAGTGTATCAGTCTCAAATAGACTGGGAATCCGGTGGTTTGGTGCTGGCAATTATCCAAGGAACTTCTGTGTGTGGGGTGGTTGTCACCCAAAGGGAAGGGACAGATCCCAGCTAGTGCCTGTGCCCCAGCTCTCCTGGGGCTTGCTGGTGTGCACTAGTGCTGGGGGGGGCGGAGGTGCTTAGAAAGGCTGCTTTGACATCCGGGGCTCTGGCCTCATAGGAGGAAGACCTCTGGCTGACATCCTACTCTTCATCAGGTCCCATTGTGTAGTGCTAACTGGTAGGTGTCCCATCATTTCAGAGTCCCCTGTCTGCATGTATGCAGCTGTGGGGCCACAAGCACACCCACTATGCACAGGGACAGGTAGAAGCATAAGTAAGCTAAGGCCTACAGGGAAGAGAATCCTTTTCTTTGGTCCTCTGGCTTCATGGAGTTCAATGGGAATCTTTAAGACCAATCATTGTAGTCAGCAACAATCTGATAAAGAGTAAGGATGTTTTCTAAGCCCTTAGATTCAATTTCTTTAAAATTCCAGCATTTAAGCTTTTGTTGTCTTTAGTGGTGGAGGCTGAGACTGCCCCATTTGTGGCCAGCACTATGAGGTAGGTTTGAGTGGTTTACACATATGAACTCAATTAGGCCTTAAGCAGAGAGGTGACTCCTTCCACACATAGTGTGAGGCCATTTTGTCTGATAATAGTTCCTTATGGATGCTTTGGACTTCACTTTGATGGCAATGTGCAATTTTACTTGGTGGCTACTGCTGAACCGCCCGCCTTATGTGGTGGTTTTACATAAGGCGCTCTCCCTGTTGGGTCTGCAACAACACCCTCTCAGGGCTTCATGGTGACACAAGCCTGCCTGGTCCCTCTCTAACCTACATGGGTTAAGAGACCAAAAAAAAAAAAAAAAAAAAAAAAAGACTCGCCAGCACTTTAATGAGAGTGTCTGAGCGGCAAATGATGCTGGTGTCTAACCCAGGATCTTAAGCTTTCTGAATGGCTGAACAGACCATGCCTGGCCAGTGTTCATCATAGGCTGTGAGCTGGACACAGCTTCGGATGGTTGGCTCTACACAGGACAGCATGGAGACCCAGGAGACCCATGTGAGCTGCCAGGCTGCCTGGAGCCCTGAGCCTTGCCCACAGTCCATGCAGCACTGAGAGACTTTGTAAAAAGACTCCTGAAAGATGGATGAAAGCAAGCCACCAGCTCAAGGGAACCCATGAGGGACTCCTGGGGACAGAGGACAAGAATTATTTTTGTCATTTAGTGTTTCATGACCTGGAAACCTGGAGCCATAATTAAGCAGAATATTCAACAACAACAACAACAAATAATAATAATAATAATAATAATTTCTTAATATATAATTGATATATGCTTGAATATGTGTATGAATATATAATATATAATGAACATGTATATTCATACACACACATACGTATATACATATATGACTTGAAATCAAACTAAGGTATGTCAGTCCAAGCAACTGGATGGTAAAACCCTACTTAATAAAAAAGACAGGGCTGGCCTCATCTTTTTACCAATGCAGGTGGATCATGTTTGTTTCGTTTTGAAACAGAGCCTCACTCACACAGTAGCCCAGGCTGGCCTGGAGCTTGTGGTAACAGAGCCTCACTCACATAGTAGCCCAGGCTGGCCTGGAGCTTGTGGTAACAGAGCCTCACTCACACAGTAGCCCAGGCTGGCCTGGAGCTTGTGAGCATCCTCCTTTCTCAGTGTCCAGGATAAAAGTCATGGGGAACAGTGCTTGGCTGAAATGAGCTTTTGAAACCACTAAGCACTTCAGGGAAGGCTCCTCATCAGAGGGCGTGGTGGGCTAGTGGGGTGACTTGGTACCTCTGTTGGCTTTCCTCTGATAGACCTCAGTATTGGGGCTCCCAACTGTTACCTTGGGAATCTCCAGAAGGTCCCTCTGTAGCTTAGTAAGGAAGCATCAAGAAAGAGTCAGCCTCATGGACTTTTCAAGATCAGATTTTCAGGGTAGTTTTCAGTCCACAGATTCAACAGTAAAATTCAACAATAAAAGCCTAAACACACTGGATCTCTAGGTCTTCGATACATGCCCTGTGATGGATGCAGTCCTGTGCTGGCTAAAGAGGAAACCGAGGCTCCCAGAGTGGGTGTATGAGACTTGGGATCCTGCCCCTGGCAAGGTACAGAGTTGGGCTTTGAACTAAATCTACTTCTAAGGTACGTGTCACCCACCAGAGGCTCCAGACCCAGTGACTGCAGGAGAAATGCTTGTGCCTGGGTATTGCCTCTGTTGGAACACTGAAGGGGCAGGCAGCTCTTATAATGTTAAAATTTACAGAAGGGGGTCTAAGAGTCTCAGTCATAGGGTATCCCAGCCTGTGCAGGGATTAACAAAAATAAAATTCTAATTTAGTAGCCCGAAAGCAATGGAGAAAATAGCTTGTTTGACAATGTTTGTAGAGGTGACAGGCCCTTCCCATTAATAAGTGTCCCTAGAATACCTCATTACAACGCAAACAGCGATGGCTTCAGGGTAATATGAAATATACAGGGCTCTGACTGCACGACAGATGGCTTTGAGAGGGCCACAGGAGAGGATGGATTGTGTTCATTAAGTTTCCTTTCATGGGATCCACGCCATTGGCTCGGCCAATTAAAATAGCTCGACGTGATTTTTAGACCATTATTTATTTTCCTCTGTAGACTTTATAATCTAAATATTTAAAATGGCAATATCAAAAAAATAATTGATATGCCAGTGGTCAAGAGAAGCATTTGGTTGGGGCAGAAGACTGAGTGATGCCCTTTGCTCTGATTCTATTTCAGAGACCAAGTGGTCTCTCCTGGAAGTGTGGTGGGCTTTTGTGAAGACCCAGGCACAGCTGGGATCCGCTAAACCACTGGCTTTTCCATGGACAAAATGGATTGAGATGAACACGTGGAAAACCGAGATTTGAAATGAGGAGGCAACACCCTCATCACCGACAGAGTGGAAAATATATTCAATTGAAAACATGCTCTTGGTTTGGGATAGTGGATTTGTTTTTTTTTTTTTTTTTTTTCCCCTTATGGTCGACAGCCAGCAAATTGCAGATAACATTCTTTCAAAAATTGAATCCATGTATTCCTCAGTGGTTAAAATTTCAATAGGACATGTATTATCAAGAGACGGCATACTGGGTAAAAAAGCATGCAGAGAAAGTGCGCAGAACACACAGCAGGGGAGCTATTCCCTTTATGCTGTGCAAACTGCACTGTGGAGAAGTTCTTAGGCTTGTCTCTCTTTTGAGCCCAGCACATGGCAATTACAGAGGAAAGGGAGGAGTCTGAGTTGTACATGAGTGATCCATCAGTACCAGGATAGGACAGGCGGTCAAGATTGAAGGGTGAAAGCAACAGTCTTTGGCTATTTATTGCCTGGGATTCTGAACTTTTTTTTTATTTTATTTTATTTTTTTGGATATAGAAGACAGCCAGTATATGGAGGCTAATGAATCACATCAAATAGCGGTTTACTCAGATAGAAGCTGTTGACTCAAAAGTTTGACCACTGTGAAATTTCACATAGCGCTTAAGCAAAATCAATGATCTTAGATTGCTAATTTGATTTTTAAAGTAAAAACAACCAATACAACTAGGTTCTTTTTGCATGTATACACATGTGGTGTGTGTGTGTGTGTGTGTGTGTGTGTGTGCGCGCGCGCGCGCGCGCGCGTGCGTGTTTATGTGGCATGTGTGTAGGTACACCTGTGCATTCAGGTACATGCCTTGATTATCCTTTATCTTATACATGGAGGCTTAAACCAAATCTGACTAGTTTAGCTAACTAGCTAATTCCTTCTCTCTCCTGCTGAACAGTGGGATTGCAGGCAGTCAGAGTGGCCCATGGGCATGTCTATGAGGGATTGTCGTGGTTGATGATTGACATGGGAAGGCCCAGCCCAGCCCATTGTGAGCAGGTGACATTTCAAGTGTCACTTAAGAACCATTCAATTTTTAGTGTGCATTTTTAACCTGAAGTCCACAGTCAAGATTTATTTTTTTCTTCTCTTTTTTTCTTTCTCTATTTTGACCCAATGTTTAACTTTTTTTTTTTTACTACATGTCACTTGGGAGAGGGGCCAGAAACTGCTTATGATTGACTTTCCAACAATAATTCAAAAGCATGTAAAATAAGGCCCAGTTCTTCTCTATATGAACACTCAGTAACAGCAGCCCTCCATCCGCCTACGAAGGCCAGTGGAGTGGGAAGGCCAGCGGGGCAGAGGTGACAGGGAGGTGGCAGCAGGCGTGTACTGATTAGGTGCTTTGCTGCAGTGGCTGTGAAGTGGGTAGTGTCTTGGTTCACACTTCACAGTCCTCTGCACTGCCACGGCACATGACCAAGGCTACTTCTTGTTGGTAATTCATTCACGCTGCCTCCCAAGTGAAAATCAACTGCACTTTATAGGTTTGTTTTGTAAGTTTTGCGGCGCCCTCTCCAGGGTCTTAGGTTGAGGAATGGAGTGGGTTGCGGATGTGATGTACTTCTCGTCCTTCATGAGCAAGTGCTCCAAGCCCCAGAAGCAAGGTCCAGCCAGGCCAACTCACTGCACTGGCATTGGTGCTCAGCCACACCAGTCATCATTGTGTGTGGTACTTGATACCACCCGACTATCCCCACTGCACTGATGGGCTCAGCTCCACCCTGGTTTTGGGAATTAAGTTTCCTGAATGGCTTTGCTAAAGTGTGGGACAAACACCACTGGCCTTGGTTGGTGCCTGATTCTCCCAGGCCCAGACTCACCCAGAGGTTGGAGAACCTGCCAAGCCTCAGCTACTGTGCCTGGCTTCATTGAGGTTTCTTGTGGCTCCCATGAGTTTTGACATTTATATTTCCCTATATGATCTTCTCTGTTTAGTGTCTTCTAATTTATGAGCACAGAGGTTCAAGGCACAATCTAATAGGTTTTTTATGTTTTTCAGCCAGCTAGTGTCTGTGGTTATTTATGGTATATTTATATTAAGGTGTCTTCTTTTCTTACTCAGCCTCACCAGAGCACTCCAGGCAGTTAGTTCTTTTCACACACCCAGCCCTGACAGCACTGCTGTTTATGTGTTTTTATCTGAGGGTACCAATGGAGCCTCCAGCAATTCGGCTGGCTCCAAGTGATGCACCTGAAGCTTTTGCTGTAGAACTTGGTGAGGGATCTGGTACCCTTAGTCAAAAATTCCTTATTGGAAACTGAACTTGTCAACCAATGGGGCCCCATCAGGAATGCTCACATCTCTGGTGATGCGAGTGTTGAGGGCTGATTTCCTGGACCATGAAGGGGTATCGAGGATAAAGAAGTTGTAATTATGGTAGTTTAGCAGGACCCGGGGACAGAATGGGTTTCAGCTGAGGAAGAGAGGGCTCTGAAAAGGAAGTTGTGGGCTTCCCCAGGAGGCATGGGTTCTGCTCAGGACTCGTGACACCTGTTCAGAGGTCCCAAATTTCGTGCACAGACTCTAAGGGGATGCTGGTGCCATGTGCCACCCCAGGCAGAGAACTGAGCTGTGCCAGATTCCTGTGCCACTGTTGGGTGTTGACAAGGCTATACATCAGTGCACCCATCACTGTGGAAAAGGACCCTCCAAGGCCAGCTAGACGAAAGTAATTCCATTCTCACATCAGCAAGACACCCATGAAGCCAAGGGTTCTGCTGACATCAGGCAGGTGTGGGGTATACCCTCTCTGGGGTACTCTGCATCTCCCAGACACATGTGAGGGACACTCCCAGACCTCTTGGGTCCTCAGCTGGAAGCCACCCATTCTGTTTTCCCTTCGTCCCACAGACTCATTAGAGAAGAGGCACAGCCAGCAGAAGCCCCTCTCTAAGTGTGGAACTTACCATACCCAGGAATATCATCTCCTCTTCTCTTTCCTTCACTGTTTTCCTGCTTTGATGGAAACCTCGCCAAACCTGCAAATAAATGCATGACTATTCCCATCACAAGTTCTCCTGTAGAAACTGGCCAGCCCAAGCATTGTGACAAACAACTCTACCCTGCACTTGTGGGTTTCAATGGATTTTTAAAAAAAAGTCTTCCTTCCTTCCTCCCTCCCTCCCTCCCTCCCTCCCTCCCTCCCTCCTCCTTCCCTCCTCCTTCCCTCCCTTCTTTTTTAAATGTCTTTGCCTTTTTATTTATTCTTCTCTCTTACAATGCATCCCAAATGCATCCTCCCCTCCCAGTTCTTGATCCACCACTCCCTGCCATCTCCCCCAAGTCAATTCCTTCTCTGTTTCCTTTCAGAAGTGAGCAGATCTCAGGTGGATATCAACCAAACATGGCACAACAGGTTGCAATAGAACTAGGCACAAGCCTTTACACCAAGGCCGGAAGAGACAACCGCTTTCTTAAACTTTTACTTTATGTGTTGTATTTCGAGTATTTCACCCACTTGAATGTCTGTGCAATACATGGGTACCAACAGCTACAGGGTCCAAAAGAACCATGTAGGTGCTGGGAATTGAACCCAGGTCCTCTGCAAGCTAGTGCTTGTAGCCACTGAGCCATCTCTGTAGCACCCACAGACAATAGTTTTAGAGAAGGATAATTACAGTAATGACTTTGAATCTGACTTGGGATTCTTCAAGAGAAAATTCCAGAAGTCAGAAGAATGAGGTGTACCTAAGGGAAGTACTTAGTCACTGTTTGACAATTAAAACCTTCCATAGTAACATGGGAAGTAACATCTCAGGTGCTTTAAACAAAAACAAACAACAACAACAGGAAATGGTAAAACTAAAGCTTAGCTGAGGGTGCAGAGGCCACAGAGAGGCAAAGAAAGGCATCTGTCTGTCCTTCCCACTGCCCTCTCCCATGACTCCCCAAGCACAGCTGGGGACAGTTCCCTACCTCTCAGGCTCTACAGTATGCCCTTATACTTATTTTCTTTTTAATTTAATTCTGATTTGTGCCACATGGCTGTAGTTTTCATCTTCCCTCAAGAAATCTTGCCTTCCATTAGGAAAAAGACAGGGTACACTACTAGCAACACCGTGTAACAAAAAATCGGTCCCCATGGCCCCTCTAGAAGGAATACAGAGGTTTTGGCCCTTAGTTGGGGTGGCTGGAAAGTACTAAGTAGTGAGCTTGTCTTCAAGGCCCCAGGAGTTGCTCCTGGTGTCTCCTTTCTGCAATTGTCTCAGCATGAAAGCAGTTTTTAGAAAACCTCATTGTGCATTTACATCCTTGCTAGATTCTAGCTACATTCTTTCCAACAATTATCGATGCCCTTTTGGATGTCTTTGAACACACTGTTCTGCATCTTAAACTTCCTAGTTTACAACAAACAAAATAAAAACAAGACGATGTTTCTTCAGGGTAAGCCAATAAATCTTTGTGGGGTTCACTAACTCAACACAGCTTTCCTATAGGTAGGGCTTTGGGTTTTGAATTTCAGAGCTCAGCCACAAGGCTGGACCCTGTTGCCTGCTCCCACCCCCTTAATCCGGATGTGCCCACATGTCAGTACTTTTTGAATCTGCAGGGCCGCCAGGCTGGTGTCAGCTAGTCTCTGGCCCAGCAGCTTGATCTCCTTGGCTCTGCACTCCTGGAGGAAGATCTGCTTCATGAACAATGCCCTGAGGCGGCCCTGCCTTGCTCTCTCGGCGATCTGGATCAATTTAACAGCCTCTTCCAATGCTATGCTCTTTACAGTGTATTTCTGAAAAAACAAACAAAACAAACAAACAAACAAACAAAAACAAAACCAAAAAAGCAGGAAAATCAATATTCATACATGTTGAACTGGTGCTTGCTGCCAACTGTATACTGTGCTACAGCAGCTGTAGACTGTGTTCTAGGTTGCTTTTCTGTTGTGATAAACACCTTGACCAAAAGCAACTTGGAGAGGAAAGGGCTCACTTCCCTTTCTAAGCTTCACGTGGTCATCAAGGGAAGCCAAGGCAGGAGGTCAGGTCAGGTATGAAGCAAACACGCAGGCTGCTTGCTGGCTTGCTTCCAGGGTCACCTTTAGCTGCATTCTGTAGAGCCTGAGCCCATCTGCTGAGGGATGGCACCACCCACAGTGGGCTGGGACCTCCTACAGCTAGCCATCCAAGGAAATCCGCCCCCCCCCCAGTACTAAGAGAGGGAGAATTAGTTTCTTCCAGGGACAGGTTCCCAAAGAGGATCCTAATCCCAAGTGGTCATCTCAGGACTCAGGCACGCATGAGCAATGTTAAATAGGCTCAGTAGGTTGTAGATGAATGTTTGCATATATAGAACATATCCATCATTCATAACCATATATGCATGCATTCATTGTTTTAAAACAAATTATAAATATGTTTTATATATTATATATAAATTATATAACTATATACAATTACATATGGTATATATAATGTCTATGTATATAGATGCAACAATAGTAGCTAAAGTAGAGACCATGGACTTGGAAGTAGGGGAGAGTCTGTGCGGAGAGGTGTAAATGCAGGGCTCGTGTACAAAATTCTAACAACCAACCCCAAGCAAAAACCTTTTGTAAAAAGAAAGGTAATCCTCATAGACATGTCCAGAGGCCACGCTGATGGAAGGATTTTCTCAGTTGAGTTTCCCTCTTCCCAGGTGTAATAAGTTAATAACCAAGATCAGCCTCCCCAGACCACACCACTCTCCTTCCAAAAAGAAAGCTAAGTGGCACCCCAAAAGTTCAGCTCCATAGTGAATTAGACCTGAGATGACCAGAAATGTCAATCAGCATATTAATTGGTGCTGTGAATTCTATCATTTGTTTGGCGGGAGAAATAGCAATAGAAACCATGCCTCGGAGATGAGGACTTAAAGGCTGAAGCCAGCTGTAGATGGACCAGTGACTGGGATGTTAAACCATTCAGAACTGCTGACTTTGATGTGTGAAAAGGTGAGAGCTGGAGAGGTGACTCGGTCAGTCTCAAAGTTGAGGAACTGAGTTTGAATTTCTAGCACTCGGCTAAAAAATATGGGCGTGACAGCACGTGTCACTCCAGTGCTGGAGTACCCACAGGGCACAACCAAGTGGATCCCTGGCACTCAGTGTCCAACCAGTCTATCTGAATTGGCCAGGTTCAGGTCAGATGAGAGACCTTCTATCAAAAAGTAAGAGGGTGACTGAGAAATACACTCAACATACAAGGGCACACACATGCTCTTTTATGCACACGAAACACACACAGTGAATGTCATTATAACAGAAAAGTGTGTGTACATGCTGCAGACTGTGGGGTATGTAGAAACAGGGCTAGGTGACTGGTGTGTGTCATTTTTAGGGGTGCAGATATACATAAGCAAGGTTTTGGGGAGTCTTCAGAGGCCCATGGAGGCCTGAATGAGATCAGGCTGAGGTTACTGTTGCAAGGGAGGAAGCTGTACCAGAGTAGAAGAGAACCATGGGAATGTGTGTCCCTGCAGGGGTAGAGGCACATTGCTGCCACATCCACTTTACAAGGGTCTAGGGGTTTGAACTCAGGTTTTCCTGCTTGTATAGAAAACTCTTTACTCCCTGAGCCATCTCCCAGGCCTTGCTTTTCCCAGTGACAGTCCTTCTAGGAGATCCAAATGCCACTCGGTTAGAACTCATAAAAGGCCAGAGAGCAACTGAGAACACAGTTGTGAATTCAGTTTGTGAATTCTGAACTTGGTGGGTTTAGTTTCTGACTTTATCTGGTGAGTCAGAGATGAAAAGGCGAACCCAGCTGGTAACTGGCTCATCCTCTGACTCCCGATGTAATGAATTATCATTTGATCTTTATTTCATATAAAGTAATCATAACAAATCACTAACAACCACCCTAAAGGCACATAACCCCTGATAGACCTCATAGAGCAAGTGGGCAGGGGAAGCGCTTTTCTCTACTTGAGAGTACGGTGTTTCCCAGACAGTCGGGGGCATGGAGGAGGAGGTTATACAGACAATGAAAGACATTTGTTAAAACGATACAAACCACACTGGGAAGATTCAATCCACATTCATTTAAGATCCGAGCGAGGATCTTCTCTCTTCCTTTTATGACTTCCAACCTCTCCTTCAAAAAATACCTGGGTATGGGGACATCCAACTGTTGCTGAAGAAGAGACAATAAATATAAGGCCATTCTGTTAGGACCCCAGGACTCAAATCCACCCAGAATTATGGTAGGATGAGCAAATCACCGACACTTGCTTGTGGTGGGGGTGGATGTGGAAGAAGTTGTGGGTAAGAGTGCTTGCTGCGCAACGTGAAGACCTGAGTTCAAACACAGGTCGTCACACACGGAAGCGTTCTGAGGAACTCCCAGGACGGAGGGCAGGGTTGGGGATGGAGGCATCCTGCTACCCCCCACCCCGGCCCCGGCTTTCTTTCTGTCTATAGCTTGACTTGCTCCATTCTTCACAGAGTCCAGCTCACGGAGGCTCTGCCAGCTTGGGAGGCCAGTTCAGACCAGAGAGAGATGCCATCATCCTCTGGCTTCAGATTCTCCCAGGGAAGGTCTGACTGGCACAGCTTCCCTGGTGTCCCAATCGCTGTGATGAGGACTTAAGTCCTGCCACACAAACTTCTGGGGGCTGGCCAGAAAAAACAGCTAGGAGTGTGAACTTTGTAAAAGAATGAATGGCCGCAGTGGCCAAGAGCAGAGGATGCTGGCTGGAATGGTCCATCCCAAATGCAAGGACATTCCCAAGGCTTGCTTCTTTGCCAGGACACTGTTTGCAGAGCCTAGACACTACTGCTGACCCAGTGTTCTGGCTCTTGCACATCAGAGATCTCAAATGGCTTGTCCGTCAGTTCCAAGGCTGGTGGAAATTACTGTTGATATGACCCTACAACGTAGACTTCCTGGGTGGTATCTGTTCCCCTCTCTTCCCTGGGCACAACTGGATTCTCACAGCAGCAGCATTTCCTGGGTGTAAGGACGGTGACCCGCTGAAGCTTGGGGGCAGTGTGAATAGTAGGGGGAATATAGAGGGAGCCCAGCATGTGAGTCTCCAACCCTCTTTAGACTGTAACCGTTTAATAGCTTTGAAATTAGATTTAGATGCTGAATGTCACCTTACTAATTAAATTTGGGGCTATAATTCAATAAAGAGTGATTCCACATTTGGCCCAGGCTGTTCCTCCTCTGTTCACCTGGGTGAGCCAAGCACACCTGACTGAATTCAGTGGTTAACTTTTGTTTATAGAAATGCAGGAAATGCACTCACAAATTCTGGAATGTCTTGACCCACTCCAGTAACTCCCTTTAGTCTATTCTGATGTCATCAGAAAACAATACTAGAAGAATCTTCCCCAGAAAAAGGAATGCCCTTTATAAAAGTCAAAATATCTTCCAAGTGGAGAAACCCTTAAGCCCTGAGTAAAGACATTCTGTCTTTTTGACTTTACCTGAGGGAATCACCCTTTCAAAATTGAGGGTTAGCTCACAGGGCCTACAGCTGGAAGAAATGAGGCGTCTAGCAGCCCTTGAGAGTCCATCCATCCAGGATATTAGAGAAACCTCAGGCAAATTCTGTCAGCAAGGAGGAAAAAGTTCAATGGCAGGGGCCACAGGAGGTGCCCAGATCACCCAGTGGCAGAGGGAGGCTCCTTGGACAATAAGGAGAGGTACCTTTCCCAGTACCTAAGAAACAAAGGCCATAGCTATAAACCTACTGGGTCATTATTGGCCCAAAACAAAGGAAGAGAATCATCCAGCTGGCCACAAGGTCCCCATCATCCAAGACTATTGTCCAAATAATGATGGGGTAAGTAGAAGGCAGAGGGCATTGTGGACCCAGGTAGTTGGGAGACTTTGGGCTATGGGGTATTTGTGAGAGGGTCAGTCTACTTCATTTCAATCATCATGACATTGTGACACCTCTGATAACAGACTTCAGTGTCAAACAGACCCACAGGCTGTGCAAAGATTGTACAAGGAAGCAATCAAAGCCTTCCTCATGATGGTGAGGTTTAAGTGAAGAGAACGTTCAGGCTTTTAATTCAAGAAGGGCATCACACGTAAACATGGTTAAGAAGTCCACAGACAATGAGACACACTATCTTATTTACAACAAAAACCTAATGAGGAAAATCCTAACAAAACGCTTACCGGAGCCAACTTCAGGTCCTGTAAGATATCGTCAAAATAATGGAACTCTGTCAATTCCAACTCTACCATCTCATTCTTCAGTTCCAGAATGCGACCCATCACTCCATCCAGGACCTTGCGAATCAACATGCGTTTCTGTGGATGGACGATCTGGTCATAGACATTCTCCATGTTCCTGAAGATCTGCACATACTTTATGTAGAAGGTGGCTAACATCTGGAAGACTAAGACCTTGTTTCTCTGTGGTTCGGTCATCTTCTGAGAGTCTTTGTCAAGCAGAGAATTGAGGGCTTCTTGGGTCTGGTGCCACATTTTATTATACATTCTGGAGGAAGACAAAGAGTTTAGACAACCTCATGTCTAAAGTTTATTCCACAGGCACACATATGGCCACCTGGCATCAGAAAACAGAACACACTGGCAGGAGTGAGCTCAGGCCACACTAAGTGGCTGGAAGGTTCTCTGGACAGCTTACGGTGTTTTGGCATGCCCATGTTTCTTCTTACAACCATTGCTATGGATAGCAAATAGTTTTAAAAAGCCTCTATAAAATAAAACTGCTCTTCAGCATGTCTGTGAAAACAGTGTTACCACACTAATTTAAATAATGAAGCAATCTATATCCAGAACAATTAATTGATCTTAGCTGATTTAAATGTGTACATTTATATATGATGGAGTGTACATTACCATTTTGGAAAGCAATTCCACATAGCCTTGTAAAGTTAGATATGTGCAGACTCCTTGAATTAAGTTTTATAATTATGTATCAAGTATGATTGTAGCAATACATTATTTTTTTTTCTGTGCTGGGGAAAGAATTCATGCATGCTAAGGGAGTGTTCTGCCACTGAAATATCCCTGGCCCTTTAGAATGTTGGTATGTGTGTGTGCAGGTGTGTGGAGGCCAAAGCTCAACCACCATGTCATTTCTCAGGAGACAACCACCTTGTTTCTTGAGATAGGGTCTCATTGACCTTGGAATTCATCTAGTAGTCTAGACTGGCTGGCCAGTGAGTCCCAGGGATCCCCCCTTTTCTACATCCTGAGTGCTGGAAGTATAGGAGGGTGTCATCATATCCAGCCTTTTTCCTTCTTCTTCTTTTTTAATAAATTCAGGTATGTATGCTTGTAAGGCAAACATTTTACTGGCTGAGCTATCCCTCCAGCTCCAGTATTTTAAAAGACAATAATATTTAGTAGTTAATAGTAGTAGTTGCTCTTGCAGAGGACCTGGGTTCAGTTCCAGCACCCACATGACTGCTCACAGCCTTCTGGTAACTCTAGTTCCATGAGATCTAATGTCCACTCCTGCCCTCAGCAGGCATTGCATATAGATGGTATACAAGCATGCATGCATACATACATAATACATACATACATAAAGACAAACCACTCACACACATAGAACAAAACAAGTTATTTAAGAAGATAGCAGAAGTCTAGAGATAGCCCCCAATGAGAGGTGAATAACTGTAATGTAGTCACCAAACAGACTGCTTCACAGAGATGTGAGAAAGTGTGGATGAGCCCTAGCGGAAGACAATGGTTGCTGTCCTTAGAGCCATAAAGCACATGAGAAGGAGGGTCTGAAGGGGTCTGAGATCACAGGGTCCTCTTGCCCCCCTTTAATGGGTGAAGTCTCCACAGCCAGAAGCTTGTTGGGTGAGTGCATGAAATACTGATTTCCATTTCCTCCCTCCCCCTGGGGTGGTGGCAGCTGAAGGCTGGGGACATTATTTACCAAAGGGGCTACCAGGGCATTATACCATCCCTGTTGTGTCTTCTCTGTTGGTAGTTATAGCTTTAGATTTGCCCAGCATGCTTGTTCAGACCAAAATAATTATGGTAGAGACTTCCCCTTCCCAAATTTGGCCTTTCACAGTTAAGAACTATGGCTGAAATCAGCTAGACATCACGAGGGGCTGGGCAGAGGCTATTCTGGAAAGGATGACAGCCCTGTCCCCCGACTCTGAGAAGCCAGAGCTTGAGGTCTTTGATGCTCTTATGGCTTCAAGCCTATTCACTTTCTAGGTGTCCTAATAACTGGTCTCTAGCAACCTGTTTGCATTTGTCATTATCTGGTGTACCTGGAGTTGCTTAGCCACCTGCTCCCTGGAATGTGCAAGAAATAGGGCTGAGAGTCACATGGCCGATACAGCTCTACAGTCGGAGCTCCTTTCCAGCCCTCTCTGAAGCACTGCGGTGTCTCCTCCTCCAGGGGAGCTCTGGCTTTGGGCCCAGCCCCCACACCTGTTTCACACCTTGTGTCCATGTCTCCCTCTTGTTTTCCTGACGGTTCTTGTCGGATATTCAGGTACTCTTTCTCCTCTTGAGTTCATAGCCTCTCAAGCCCTTTATTGTCACTCAAGAAGCAACTTAGGGGCCTCTTGGGGGGGGGTGAATACTCAAACTCAACCACCTTGTTTTGATGGCATCTTAATGTCAGCAATAAGCTCCACCTTCAGGTTTCCCTGACAGCCCCCCCCCCCCGCCCTCTGACACACACACACACCCATTCCTCAGAATTATTGCTCTACAATCCACTGAGCTGATAAACTACAGTGGTCCCTGGCTGATGCCTGATAGCCAGTGCTGCTTCCATCTTCCTGGCCCAATGATAAATGTGCCTCTTGATGTGAGAGCAGTCATGTGGCTATGCTTACAGTGGTATGATGGTGATGATGGCAATAGTGATGACTGTGGTGGTGATAGTGGTAATGATGATGGTGATGGCGGTACTGATGGTCACGATCATGATGATGTTGCCTGAGATGATGATGGTGGTGAATTGATGATGATAGAGGCGGTTACTTAACTTATACCTTGAGTCACTCTTCTGAGAGCTTTCTGTATAATAGTGCATGCCATCCTCACAATACCCTTTGATGTAGGTAAATGATGAGGAAAGCAGAGCATTCGGAGTCTATTGCTCAAAGTCACAGTGTTTGAGGGCAGACCAGGTCTTAATGTTCTGGCTTTAGGGCTCATTGTTTGCCTTCTGAGCTTTATGCTTCCTGTTTGTCAGGAGGGAACAAGCATGAGCAGTTATGGGTGCAGACACAAAGACACTATGAAAAGCAAAGACTGTGTGAATCTGAAATCAGAACTTTTCCTCCCTCCCATACCGTTAAGTTAGGATGCCGAGTGTGACATCCAGCACTCCATCTGCAGTATGTGCAAATGCCACACTTCCAAAAATTCAACATTTAGAGAACTATGCTAGTAAAAGAGCTAGGTAGATTCTCACAAAAGAGAAGAGGGTTGTCAGGAAATCTGAGCTATGACTCCTGCAGGACATTCCACTACCTTACTTAGCGGTTAGTGGCAGGTGTCACCAACCAGAGGCAATGATGGTCCAATGGAGAGCAACATGCAGCTGCTCAACATGCAGCGCTGTCTGTCAGCACTGGTGTGCCTGATGTTCTGCAGCTGCGTGTTCACACCTCAGAAAGATAAGCAACAGGGGAGGACAGAAGAAAGCACAGATGAACAAGTCAAAGGCAGCATCAGGCCCGGACAGGAGCAGCTGTGACGGGCCATCACCTGGAGAAGCAGAGCCACAAAAGGTATAAAGTCAGGTCGCCAAAGCCCAGACTCCTGGAATCTGAGAAGAACACAACTTAAGATGGTCACTGATCTGAGAGAGCACAGGTCGAGCACCAGCAGGCTCCACATTGTAGAGTTTATTTTGGTGACAAACTAGGGCTTGAGGCCTCAGCCAACAGGCACAGTGGCAGGAGAAAAGCACAGGCTGATTTTGTTCAGAACTCAGATCTGAAACTCCACTCAGCAAACTAAACACAGCCACAGGGAAAGCATCTCTAACCAAGGTTGGGGACTCTCAGAATGACTGTGGCTCGGCATGTGGGACTACTCCACTTTCAGACATAGAATGTCAAAACCGCAGGGTAGTTATGGGCATTTGAGAAAATACTCAGCAAGCTGACAGACAGCGCATTCCTGAGCAAAGACGCCTTGAGCACACAAAAATGATGGCTGCTACAGGATGCTGAATCTAGAGACCACTGCCTCCTTACCAGCAACGTGACAAAGAGGGGGTTGACAAAAAAGGGATTAAGTGATGTTGCTTAAAACAGCAAGGTTGCAAGGCTCAGGCATCACCGACATAAGGGATAGGGCCAAGAAAAAGAATAGAGATTCCAGCTATATCCCAGCTCAAATAAAGGGCGTTAAAGAATACTGGGGGACTACGCAGATCCAGCTGAAAAAAATTTTAGAGTGCAGAAGTTGAGAACAAACAGAAGGCAAGAACTGCTCCTGCTCAAAGATACAAGACATAAAACAACAGCAAAGTCTGGACACGATATGCAAATTTAATATGAACAAGAACCTAGGAATAATAAACAGTAAATATCATAATTTTAATGTGGGGATGGAATAAACAGTAAAAGATGAAAGGTAACTGTCTTGGTAAGTTTTCCATTACCCTAACAAACCATGGCCAAAACAACTTAGAAAAGGCTCATGGTTCCAGAGGGTTAGAGTTCATGACCATCAAGGCAGAGAGTGTGGCAGAGGGCAGGGGCATGGTGTTGGAGCAGTAGCAGTAGGAAGTAGAGGAACTAACTTTGAAACTTCAAAGCCCACCTCCCGTGGCACATCTCCTACTCTCAAAATGTTCCATGCAATTATTCAAATGCATGAGCCTATGGAGTGTATTCTTATTTAAACAACTTATACTTCAAACTCTTATCCCTGCAGCAAGCATTACAAGGACATGGCCTCCTAAGAGCATGGATGGGCGGCTTGACCCCCACCTAGACCCACATGTATCAACAGCCTCAGGCTTCCATCCCCAGATGCCCTGGCGCAATAGAAACACATGGCGAGTGTGTGCTGTGATGGGGAGAGTCAGCTAAGTAGGCACATGCAGCATCTGTTCCCTCCACAGCGTCTATGTCCTCATTCATCCACTTCAGCCAAAGTTAAGGCAGCAGGGGGCATTCAAGGCCTTGGCGGAGCAGCCACAGCTGGAACACTGAGTCAAAGGCAGTCCTGGTGACTGGATCCTCACAGGCCCTCCCTCTGGGCTGAAGCCTCTCTCTTCCTCACCTGCACCTTTCAAGGACCCTAGGGGCATGGTGCTGGCTGAAGGGCAATATGGACTGCTAGGTGAGCACATGAATTCCTTCCATGTCTTGGCTTGATTTCCTCACCACAAAAGATGGCTCCGTCTCTTTCTGACAGATCTGTTCCCTAAGAGGGCTTCCTGCCTTGATCCCTTCAATGTATCTATAGCCACACTCCACTACTCTGGCCTGTCTCTGCCACACCAGCCTGCAGAACCCCCTTCACAGACATGGGCCCACACTCCCTCCTTGCAGCTTCTGGTCATTTTGCTCATGTGGGACCCATGATAATAATATGAGATGAGGGACGCGACAAGGAGCTAACCAGGAGTGTCATGGGGGCACATTTCACAAACCACTTCCAGACTGTAACACTGTGGCTTTAGTATATTTACAGTGCTGTATAACCATCACACTGTCTGGTTCTAGAATGTTCTCATCACTCTAAGAGAATCCTGTCCGGTCAAATATTCACTCTTGAGTCTGCCTCCTCCCAGCTCTTGGCCATGAATCCCGAGTCTACCTCTTTTGGCCTTATCCAGACAGCCCCTCATACAGCCACACCCGATGCACACATCTGAAGTGAAAACCTGTCTTAGTATCATGACACACTAGAGAGAGGTTTTTGCCTTCCCTCTAGATGTTTGGTTGCACTCAGTTTTGGCTTGTAAAACTGGTACCTGGAGCTGTCTGTTGGCCCATGTGTTCCTGGTGGCAGCTCTCACCCACCCACTGCTGGCCTCCTGTGCTATCTCAATTCCTTCACTATCAAGGCATTCCTTTAGTACACAAAAATAAAGTGTTTTCACATCTAACAACTCTGTCTTCCTGTTCTCTGCCATTGGTTCCTTGGCTAAGTCAGCTCTTCTCCCTGCTATCCTGGGCTGGCCCTTTTACGTACACTTGTGCCATGTCTCAAGCAGACCATCCTGGGTCCACACTGGCAAGTTCCTACTTCATCTCCGGGAAGCTTAGACCTGGTGTTCAACAGCCTTCCCCATCCACAGGCCTTAATCTGCTCTGCTGCTCTTCCCATACTCATCCCTCACCCCATGCCTCCATGGGAACCTTCAGGGTTAGGTTTCCTGGAAGACAGCATTGGGAAGCTGGGCCTAGAACTGTGGTCTACAGTAGTCACAAATGGATGCTGTCAGCCACTGCCCTGCACTGTGCTGGGGACCGTCTTCTGCGAATATGGAAATACTCAGAGCTATAGCTTTACAGGGTGGCTGTGACCATGGCTGGTGCCTGGAACTTACTCCAGTTAGCCATAGTGAATGCTCCCAACATGGGATAACGCCAGGGCCAAGTATACAAGGAGGTGACAGAGACACACTCAGCAATGGCCTGGTGTCTAGGCTGAGAAGCAGAGCACTGGTGCTTCCTCCAGACCTTTCCGGAATGAAGTTTAGGGTCTGGGGTTCTCACAAGCAACCCATTCATTACTAATAGAAAAGCCACCTTGGACCTTGGTCAGCCATGGGCTTGTGAGGGAGGTCTGGGGGGTAGGGACTTCCCTCTGGGGAAGAAGAAAAACAGCCTAGTGTTTTGTTTTGCTTGTTTGTTTTGCCAACAAGACAGGGATAATAGATGAACTTTATGACAAATAAAAAGGAGGGGAGTCGAGGATGATGGAGAGGATAAAACGGCAGAAGTCTCCCACAGAGGCTAACAGCTAACCCACCACTTACAGGTTCGACATGGCTGGCCTCTTTGTGTCTCTCCTTCACCCACCAAGAAGCTCTTCCTTGCCCTCCGAAGACTGGCCGACTACAGAGGGGACCCCCAGAGGTTCCCAGAGGTTGGGGGTTCCTCTGGAGGGAGGGACAGGAATAGAGTACAGCCTGTCACCGAGGGCGGGGAAAGGCTAGGAGAGGTGGGTCGCCCTGCCGTCACCCTCCCGGAGCGCAGGCACGGACAGCGGTTCCCTGCTCTGGTTGCTGCTTTGGGCTCTAGAACCTCACTTCTCCGACTAGAGTCGCTCCAGGCGGCCCTAGCAACGGGGACTCTACTTCTGCGCAATGCCCTCGCGCGATTCCCGTTTCCGTGGCAACTGCTAAGCAGCTAGCGCATGGTGAGAAGCTGGGGGAGGGGCAGGTTCTGCAGCTGGTGGAGAGCGAACTACGTCCGGCTTTCGAGGTCTCTCACCGCGGTCCCACCTGCCTCTAGCCGGGTCTTGGGCACGGACCTTCCTGATGGCAGACCTCAGCCTTCCCATGTTCAGAGTGGGCGCAGAAATCACTCGTTCATCCCTCACTCCAACAAGCGCAAAGCGAGCTCAAAGAGGCCAATGCTCCCTAAAGGGGAGGTATCCTATGAGTGTGAGCTGTTAGCCATCCGCAGGGAAGCTTTCTTTCCTTTTTCCTCTTTCTTCATCTTTGGTTAAAGTTGAGATTTATTGGCAAATTTTACAAAGAGTCTACAGTTCCTCTGGGGGCATGTCCTGAACCCCCAAGAGACGGGAGGAGAGAGAGGGAGGTAGGGGCGAGAGGGGGAGGGAAGGGGGGTAGGGAAAGGCCAATACAGGAAACAGCAGACTTGGACCACAGACCCCTCCCCATCATTACCAAGGGAGGGATCAAAGGTGGCTGGAACCTCTCCCCCATCCCGTTGCAATCACAGGGGAATTACAGGGATCTGCCATTAACTTCCAACTAGAAACTGCAGTGAGTACTGGACCTATGGCCTGCCTGGTTCCCAAAGTCCTTCTGGGGAGAGCATCCGGGCAGACAACATATCCAGGGTCTCAGGATGCTCTTTGCTGAAAGAGAACCCAAAGAGCTCATTCAAAAGGAATTAGGAAAAGCTGAGAAAGAGCAGACGTCGTACTGCAGTTGCTCCTGACCTAAGGGAGTCACTCAACAGTGCCTGTGGCTGGCTGACACGGAGGCCTTTAGGCAGTTAAGAAGGGTTCACTGATGTTCCTGGGGAGAAGGCTCAGTTGGTAAATTCTCTGTGGGAGGAATATGAGGACCTGAGCTCTGATCCCCAGCACCCAGGTAAAAAGCCAGGTTCTGTGGCTCGCATCTGTGATCCCTCTGGAGACAAGAGCATCTCAGCTGGCAGAGAGCAGTGCCAGCTGTATATAGCCAGTGCGAGTCATGCATGAGCTCTTCTGGACAGCATTAGACAGCCAAAGAAGGTACAGATTGTATAAATAAAATAAAATAAAATAAAATTCACAAGCTTCTGTATGCAGAGACATGGTGCTCCCTTGAATTAGGTGCTAGGGTCTCAAGCATGGGTCTACTCAGATGACATGACATTGGTCATCTCCCCACTTGACAGCTAGGCAAGGTGGAAGCAGAGGCAGAGGGCACGAGCAACTGGTTTCAAGGCTGCACTCCAACGGACTCTGGAGTTGATGCATGACTGTTGAGGACCATCATGTCTTCTTAAAGGATATCATGATGAACCAAGGTGTAGTCATTTCTGTCTTTACACAGTGGAAACTGTGGTCTTCGAAGCCAGTCTCCCTTAGGACTTCCTGTCTGTGGTTCGTTGGTATATTTTGGTGGGTTTCTTTTTTCTGTGGCCTTTGAACAGAAAATAATGATGCCACCTCCTAGGAAGGAGCAGTGGGTACCAGGTTGGCTCATACACCTGTCTATTTCTGGGTGGCTGTTCTACCCTGGTATCTCATGGAGTATACTCTATCAGGCACTCTATCAGCCTGCAATGCCTTCTGTCGCCTGTCATCATGTAGTGGTTCTTCATTCTACCAAGGCCCATGTGGTCCCTCAGATCTAACCAATGTCACTGCTAAAAATGCTCTCCCTGCCAACACTGAGGTGCCTCAGTGCACCTCAGCCAAAATGCAGTCAGTGTGAGCAGTCCAGATGCTCACCCTGTCCCTGCTGTCCTGTCCTCAGCTGTTCCCTGAGATGGAGACAGTGGCAGGTGCTGCTGGCACATGGCCCCATTTGGCCTTCACAGCATCATTCTTACCCACAAGGCCAGAACCCCAGGCTTCCATCTTCCTGTCGAGTTGGTGTGTTTGTGGGGAGCCCAAGACGGTGATGCTTACTCTGTCTGCCTTCTCTACACACTCAGAAATCATTTTAATGATCTGTGCTGCTTCCGGGGATCATAGGAAGTTCAGAGGCCTCAAGTCCACCCTCTTATCAGTGAGGTGTTATCCTTCTTGACTCCACTCTGCAGGATCCCTCAATGATCCTGTCAGGCACACATGAGTGTCTCCACTCCAGCTTACACTTTATCTACCTCAACTCTCAGGTCCTTCTCCTGCCACCAAGACAGGCTTATCACTACTGTCCAGTCCAGTGAGTCTTCACAGGGACCCTGGAAACCTCTCAAGGCCTCAGTATCCTCCTTGCCTCCTTCCTTAACATAGGGAGCCAAGGGACAAATACCCAACATAAGAGGACAAAGGGCTCCCAAGACTTACTGGGCAACCCTGGGGAGAGGACAGCCTGGCAACCTTGATTCAAGAAGAGGGTTACTCCCTCAGGGACACAGCCACTCCTAGACTTCCAGAGATGCCTGGACTCTGCTCTGTCCCCTAGGACCTCTGAGCTGTTGGTGCCTGTTCAGAGGTCACTACACAGGCCTTGGTGAGTGCTGAAGTCTCTGCTTCCTCTAGAAGAACACTTTAGCAGCTCTGGTCTGCTATGCTGGATGTCTGAGGCCCACATCACTGTTTTAGTTTATCATTCTAGAAGTTTCCTTGCATGTGATCAGCATCTCTTTTGCAGTCACTGCATTTTTGTCTTAGAAAACAAATGCCTTATTTCAAGCAAAGTGTGACTGTCTTCTTGAACAGCCTCCTGGCCAGACTACCAGGTCTCTGGGAAAATGAATCTTCCTTGTCCTTTTGATGTATACTAAATTAATGGGATAGATATTTCCTCTCTCTGTGAAAGCACAATACTCCTTGGAGTGGTGTAAAAACCATAATACTCTACTCAGTGTTGTACTGTGTCTCCCACTCAACACTATGCAAAGCACAGTACTCTCTTCAGTACTCTGCTTAGCGCAGTAGTCTATGCAGACATAGAATAGGGAGTTGTGACAGGAACTCAGCCTTTAGGAGGTGAGTGGGAGACAAAGGCAGTGTGTGAATAGATCCCCTCATGCAGAGTCCTCTGGAAACCTGGTTTTTAACAGTCAATCAAAATGGGCAGCCTCTGTTCTTCCATCTTGAAATGATGCCACTGTCTCTGAATCTCAGTCTACATCTACAGGGTGAGAGGGTCCCTTGTGTCACTCAAAACTCATGGTGGTGCATCTTAATAGTTTTTCTAAGGGGATTAATTTTAATTTTAATATGTGTGGAGGTTTGTGTCTGTATGTGGGCATGTACATGTTAGTGCAGTGCCTGAAGAGAACAGAAGAGGGCATCATATCCCCTGGGGCTGGGATTGTGGGTAGTCTGTGCTCTGCCTGGTACTGGAGTTGAAACTGAGCTTGGGTCCTCTGAAAGATTAGTATATACTCTTAACTGCTGAGCCACTGCCCCTTCCAGTGTGTGTGTGTGTGTGTGTGTGTGTGTGTGTGTGTGTGTGTGTGTGTGTGTGTGTGTTTAAACCTTCCACATGCTGGAGAAACTGGGCCTTGTGTGTTTAGAGTGACTACCTACCCTCATGCTTTAGAATATGGACTCTATCACTTCCTCAAAAGGAAGAAAGGTTTTATTGACTCACAGTTTCAGAGGTGCCTGTCCCCATCATGATGGGAACAGCACAGTGGAACAGAGCTGCTCACTTGCATTGTCCAGGAAGCAGAGAAGTCTATGGGTTAGCAGAATGTCACGAACCCGCAGTCATTCAGTTACTTGCTTCTGGTAGCTGCTCTTCGCTTCCTGAAGTCCCCAGAACCTTTCAAAAACTGTCTCCAGCTGGATGCATCCTTGTAATGTGTGAGCCTTGGGGCAGGGAGCCCCTTTCACAGCCAGACTCTGCCAGGCTTCTTCCTCGGGCTGTGATGTCCTCAGCAACTTACTGAACACAGGCAGGAGTGGAGTCTGTCAGAATGAGTTTATTCCACCCGAGCAGAGTCTGGAGTGCGGGAGTCGAACAGTAAGTACTTCGGGATCCAGATATCATTTGATGGGCACTTCAAGGCCCAGTGGAAAGGAAGCAGGAGTTTCCAGTTGACTTTGATTCTGTCCAGCAAGCTGCTCGGGTAGGCCACGGAAAGAGAAATGCACCAGGCTAGATGAAAGCCAAGGTACCCGAAGTTCACTTGGAACTGGAAGGCCCTGCTCCTCCAAACCGAGATGTAAGAAAGCACTTCAGTGCTTCTGAGTCGGAAATGTCATTCTTCAGAGGGAAGTGTTTTAAGATGACAGCTCCGAAGCCGTCTGTTGTCGCGGGCCACTTTTATGTCGGGCGTCAAGTCCATACAGAAGGAGTGGATGAGAGCAGGGCTCGTTATGTTTGCATGTGCATCTGGACCAGAGTCACACATGACTTTGGTGAGTTAGTTGAGGCGTATGTTGATGGGAACTTCACCAAGAGTACAAGAGACGAGCACCGATTTTATGCTTTCTGAGAGCCCCTGAGATCCCTGGGGAGTTACAATTTGTGATGGGGAGATTCCCGACTCTCCTGGAGCAGTTATGGATACTGAATGCAAATTTGAACCTGCCTTCTGCTGGCTGTCAGGTAGGTCCATAAGGTCTGTGGAGTCTGAGGTTCTCCCCAGAATCAGTTTGTTAATACAGCATTGTTCTGGGGCTGCCAGAAACATCTGTCTCTCGTGTACAGGGGTACATATGTACATGTGTGCATGTCTGTGGCCATGCATGTGCAGGCCAGAAGTTGAAGTCTGAAGCCTTCCTCAGTGACTCTTTGTCCATTTATTTGTTGAAGCCCCGTTTAGTTGAACCCAGAGCCCATCTATACAATCAGTCTAACAGCCATCTCACTCCCGAAACTTACTGGGTCCTAGTGTGTCTTTTGTTGCTGTAGA